GGGTGTGAATATTCTATTCTGCTCACACCCACACCCTCTCAATAAATCATTAAAAAAAACAATTTACTTCTATTCAAATGTTATTCGCAATTTGAAAAACATTTTATTTGATTTTTTCATAAAAATAAAGTTTTTTCTAATTGAATTTTCTTTCGAATTCTTTTAATTTGAATTATTCAACAAAAATTCTCTCCGAATTATTTTATTCATTCTGATTTCTGTTTAGAATTAAAACTAACAAATATTTACTTATTTTTCTTCTAAAAATGAAAAACATATTTATTTTTTTTGATAATTTTCTATATATTAATGTTTTCTTATTTATTTTCAAAAATAAAAATCGAAGTTTTATCACATGAAATTAACAATATTTTTAATTTCAAATTTTTTCATATTTTTGAACTCGATGGTTGAACCAATCACCAACATAAAGATTTTCTTCATTATCAAATGATAAACTTCTAGGGGAATTCAATTGATTTGATTGATTTCCTAGACCATTTCCACCAACAACAACTTCACCTTCTTCATCTCCTTCACACCAACGCATTATTCGATGATTCCTTTCGTCTGCTACATAGATTTGACCTAAATGATCAACAATCACTCCTCTAGGATAATACAATTGTTTGAGACTATATCCTTTACCATTTCCACCAGCAACAATAATTCCTTCTTTTGCATCTTTTTTCCATTTCATTACACGATGATTATTAAAATCTGATATATAAAGAGAATATTCGTCATCAATAAAGATATAAGTAGGATTATTGAGTTGATTAAGTTGATTTCCTTGACCATTTCCGCCTGCAACTAATTCACCTTGCTTATCTCCTTGTTTCCATCGTCTTACTTCATGATTCCCCCAATCAGAAACATAAATAAATCCATTTTTATCGATTGTCAGACCCCAACAATCAATATTTGAAATAAAAACTTGTTGATTTTTATCAAAATATCGGATCACTCGTTCGTTTCCCGCATCAGAAATGATAAAAGAATTATTTTCTTTATCAAAAACTATATCTGTTGGATTATCCAATTGATTATTTTGATTTCTACCTGGAATGTTTTTTTGACCAGTATTTGAATTCAATTTCCATTGAACAATACGACTATTACAATAATCAGCAATATAAATTGATTTATCATTACCAATAAAGATTCCTTCAGGCCAACTGAGTTGATTTAGTTTCTTTCCTTGTCCATTTCCTCCGGCGACAGTAATTCCAAATTGCTGAAATTTATTCTTTTTTGTTTGAATTTCTTCTAAAATAAAAGACTTTCTTTTTATCCAAGTCGTTTTCATTATTTTTAAACCAAAAAAAAAGGGCGAAAATAAGAAGAGAAACTTGAATTTGAATTTGTTCTCAATAAAATAAAAATTTCTTTTTGTTAAATTTAATATTTAATCGAACGAAACTAATTTCAAATAATTTCTTCAGTCAATTTAGATTTTCTAATTCAAAAATTCTAAACTTTAAAATATTAAAAGAGATTTTTCAAATAAAAAAAATATATAAAAATTCTATTTATTCTGAGAAATTTGCTGAGATTTGAATTCTATATTAGAATAAATCTTTTAAAAAACCATGAGGATGTGCATATGGGTACACTAATATAACAACTATTAACGTCATAGCTGCACTCAGATCCACACCCACTCTCAATTTGAAAGTTAATGAAACTATTTTTAGACAAAACTACTATTATTGTTATTTAATGAAACATACTTCGTTTTAATTGAGATCGAGTTAACATTTGATATAATGGGTGTACTAATTGTAGAATGATTTGATTGATAAGAATCTTAATAAAAAGAAAATACAATCATTTTATTTGACAATAATAGAAAAATCCTGAAGATGTGGGTGTGGATGTCTGTCTTCCGTTAACTTCAGCCACACCCACCCTCGTACAATGATATCCATTAAAACTCTAGTTCACACACATTGCTCTCGAAGAGGAGAAAAACGCTGTAAAAGAAAATAGGTTGAGTAATACTTACTGTCTTTAGTTATTTATGAATCACTTGCTATTCTGTCTTTTTGGATGTATATGGTGGTAATAGTTTCTTTCGTCAGAATGAATAAAAGTATACATAATTCACCTTTTATATATGACGTTAAATAAATTCTTTTATCTTACTTTGTAAAAGAATGATACACAAAGTTACATATCCAAGTTGGTAAGAAGTATTTGTTTTGCTTCTATTGACGATGATATTATTTATCTTCATAGAGTTTCTTTTCTGCTTGCAAAAGATAATAACAAAAATGTTGACGAGTGTGAATATAGATATTGATGTGGGATAGCCATGAATGGGGGCGACAGTCTAGATGTGGGTGCTGCTGTGTCCTATGACAGATATTAGAACACCCACATCCACACCCTCAAGTTGGTGCTGAATGGATTGCAAGGAATATTAGATAATTGATTTAAGTTTCATGACTTTGATTATGTTTTGAATAGAACTTTTCTTATTAATTCATAAGATTTATCCATTTTCAAAGTTTTGTTTTTGCATATATTCAATTCCGACTTGAATTCATGTATCTTTTCCATGTCTCTTGAAAAAATACATCGTATCATGATGAATAATTCTGCTTTTTACATACCTTATCAGTTTTTAGTCTAAAATAAATCAAAATATTCAAAGAAGAAATCTGCTAACAAAAATACTTATTGCGCATAGAGAAATAAAGGACGTGATTAAAAGTGAGTCCTGACAAAACAGATTATTTAATAGAATCAAATAAAAAAAAGACATCAAACTAATCATGACTTATTCATTGACGTCAATCATTTATTGACGATGATACTTGATATCTTATTGTCAGTTAAAACACGTCCGATAATTACCCTAGATTTTGATTAATTCTCTTTTCTCTTTATCACGTTCTACTTCAATAAACTCAAGGATTTCTCTAGAAAATCAAAAAAAAACGAAAAGGATCATGTTGAATTTAAACTCCAGTATGTGTTTTCGAATTTCAAAAAGAATAAAATTATATGAAAAATATCAAATTAAATCATCAGTTTTGTTCATTAGTTCATTCTAAAATCAATTTTTTATTTTACTTACGACGCAATCTTCTATAGAACACTATTTTTTCTCTTTGTGTGCTATGTTGGAAGAAATGAACAAGAGGAAAAGAGAGAAATATATAACTAGAGAGAAAATCTACAACGAGCCTCATTTTGTTTTCATCGAAGACAAAGAAAAAGAAGATTATTTTATTAGTTAACTCATTTA